AGTTAACTTAACTTTTCTCTAAATCCTGGAAGTCTGATTTAATCCGTTTCCAAAAATCATATATTTTCTGAAATATTCTAATTGTAATGTAATACAATAGTGTATTCTTTTTTCCTTCTTGCAATTTGTTTCTTCCTTTTCTCAGCATAATGTTAATTAAAACATAACTTCAATCATCTTCCATTTTCGGAAGCTTTCAAATAATTTTGGCAGAAATAATGGTAGAAATACGAAAATATTAAAATGTAAGAAATTAATAATAATTAATATATTAAAAATCTGACCTTGCTTAACTGTATTAATAACAATATAAAAAAATCTAACTTTGCTTAACTGTAGCTTCTACAAAGTTAAGATAATCAAGATGTCTCGATAAGCTGAGATATTGTTAAATCAAAAGAATACTGCAATCTAGATGTTACGAGGAATGACATAGCAGTCATTTCTACTGTTCCTCTATTCTATAGCGATTTTTTTTTTACTTCCGATGAGGCGGTCGACTTTTTCTTCGGCACCTGGGGCGTTGGTGGTGAGACGCCCGCGAAAAATGGACGTGCGCTCAGGTACTTCATTAATATTTCATTTCGTTGCTTATCGTTACCACGGTGCCGCGCCGCGGAGGCCCGCTCCGGGGCATCGTTACTCCCTCCAAGCGAGCGTGCACTAGGAGAGAGAGCGCCGCAGAGGAGGCGAAGGCGAGGAGGCTGCGTTAGGGAGGCAAGAGCGGGCGGCAAAGAAGGACGCTTTATTGCAATTGGGGTGACATTCTAGAAATTTTACGTCGTGGAAACACGGCGGAGACAGCCGCGGAGATTCAGAGGGAAGTAATGACGTGCCGGGAATGTCGAGAGAAACAAAGTGAGGACCGAATAAGGCCACCGAAAATGACTCGTAATAATCCAACCGTATTTAGATATGAGATTGAAGGGACCACATGTCGTTAATAGGCAGGCATCCTGAAAAAAATTAAAGTGGTGCTTCCATTCTCTTTACGAACTCTTACGAAATTTATTAATTAATTATTCTAATTATATGCTGAATAGAGTCAACATGAGTTTTTTTTCTCTACTCCGCTGACATGGTCGAAAGAGAACGAGTTTCTCTAGGAGTTACACGCATCTCTCTTTTTCTCTCTGTACATACATTTTATAGAATAATTTCAATATCAGCAAAAGTTCATGTAAATAGCGAATGGTAAGAGCCTCGGAGCGGGCGAGGAAGAGAAAGAAGCTGCCCGAGAGAAGAAAGCGAAGAGAAGAGTACGGAGAGGGAAAGAAGCGAGACGGAAGGGCGAAGAATCGCCAGAGGCCAGGACGGAAAGAGGGAGCAGAAAACGAGGGAGAACTACGGTCTGCCTTGGAGTCGCCCGAGGCGTCACGGAGCGCATTGTCTCGTTGGATATCTTCGGGGCAACATAGATCCCTCTCTTTCTCTCTTTCCCCTCCCTTCTGGGCTCGCCCCCTCGACCACCTTTCTCTCTCTCTCTCTCTCTCTTTCACTGGGACACACGAAGGTGGAGAGGACGACGCTCGCCGCTATCTCCTCTCGTTTCCGCGCCCGCAGCGGAACGACCGTGGTGCCTCTACCGCACCACTTCATGGTGGGGTGTAGAGTACCGCGCGCGTCTACCCCCGGGGGCATCTCTCGCGCACAACGATAGGGATGAACGCGAAAAGAAGAAAGGGGAAGACTATGCGTCCTTCTTCTCCCACGTCGCGCCTTCACCCGCGGGCCAACCGAAACGACTCGCGTATACGTATATACATATTTTAATATGTATACATACATGTAGGTGCGCGCGAGCAAGCGCACGCGCGCGTACATGCACGCATGCACGCGTGCATGCATGCATGCAGGCAGGTAGGTACGTGGGTACCATCACATCGCCGCGGCATTTGCCTGCATCGCTCGCGGCGGGGCTATGCCACCTCCTCCTCCTCCCCCCCTCCCTCTCTCCTCCTTCTTGAACTTCGCATTCTACTTGCTTGATGGCATCATTTATCGCAAGAAAAATAATGAGATTAGGATAATCTACCCACCGCGGGCGTAACCGTGCGCTTTGCGAAATTTACTTTCAAAGTTCTTCACTGGTACTTTCCGTTTCGCTCCTTAAAGCACCCGTGTGTGTATGTAAATGTGTATGTGTCTGTGTGCGTATATGTGTGCATGTGTGTGCGCGCGAGCGCGGGAGATAATATGTTATCGCCGTTTCGTTATCGCAGTCTCGTTGAAGTTGCTGTGCTCCTCGTATCTTCGGCCGAGTAACCCTGAGGGTGTCCTTCTTGCTGATGCTGCGGGCGGAGAGTCGTGGAAGGGATGAGCTTCTTCTTGTTCCACTGCGTAATATTATGCGCTTTTACCCCCGGGCCAGCCGAAACGGCTCTTGCGCGTGTATGTGCGTGTACCGTCATATTGGCATCTGCCCGTATCGCCCGCGGCGACACAACTCTTGTGCTTTTTCTTCTTCCCTTCGCATATTTTTCAATTGCGCTCGTTATAAGAGAAGTAGAAAGAGAAATTTTTCAAACAAAATTGAGCATGGCGATATTGCGGTCCGATGGAAATGTCAACGACTCTCTTGCGACCTTTTAACGTATTTCGTTTTTCAACTTGTCTCCTTCATCGCCGTAATTACTACGTTATCTACTTCAGCTTTACACCTGTGTTTTCTCGTTTGCCACACACTTTTTAACATCGAATGTGTATCTGACAGCAACATTTCTCTTTTATTTGTCGCTACAAAGTACTTTAATTTTTTCAACCATATTGCTGATTTGTATGGATCATTTATTATCAAAAAGAAATTAAAACAATTTATAAATTTTATAAATTTGATGCCACATTTAAAATCATTTATCCGAATAATGTATTTGTATATAAAAAATTTGTATATAAGATATGTTGCTATACTATATTTTTTCAAAATTTTTTGCTAATTTGTTTAAATATTTTTTTATTTAAGCGAATAATTTTGCAAATCTAATTATATTTTTAATAAGTAATCTAAAAAACTCATATCTTGTATTAAATTGTTTGTTAGATTTTATTCCTAGATCACCATACAGCGTACCTAATGCGTCTTAGTTAGTTCAGAATATTATATTTCTTTAAACTATTACTTGAATATATTATTACCTATATTATTATTAAAATATTTTAGATTTGATTCTTGTTTATCTACCTTTGTCAGACTCTGAGATATCAATTTCATACGCGTTGAGCTAAAAAAATATGTTTTTAATTCAGAAATAGAGCGCGACAAAGTTACAGGCCTGGTATGACGGGGAAGGTAACCAAAAATAATAATTACCTAGGGTTATTATGTTTATAGCTAATACGAGAGTGAAAATTAAGTGCCCTTAAAATTGCATACGGATTAAAATGGAAAGACATGAATAAAATATTTTTCATAGTTCTACATTTATGCCAAATTTGAAAGAAATCGGAGAGTTATATTTAGGTAGGTTTTATACTTGTAAATAACTTTTATACATATCGGTGCGATTGCGTATATTTATTATGCTGAAAATCTCGTCTCTTAATTTTTACAATTCTTTTTAATCTGTTCGTCTTCATTTACTTTTTTCAAAAATGATTAGTGCAAAAGAAAAATATACCAATGTCTAATTATTCGCAAATAAAATAAGGCAAACATTATTATTGTTTTGTATATCAGTTGCCTCTTCAGTTTTTCCTTTTCTATACGATTCTTGATTGTCGAGGGCTAACCAATACAGTTTTGTATGTGCAGAAATATATACATATTATCCTACGTTCTGACTGCGTTGCCCATGGCGAAGCATACCCTTCCCCCGTACGCTATCTTCTTTCTTTTTTTTCTTCCTCCCCTCACTCGTTTCTGTCCTTCTTTTGGCCGTCTCTCTTGTACATGTTGTTCCTTGACCGACCTCTTGTCAACCGTCTCAGCTCGCCTCCGCTCCGGGCAACTTTTCTTTCCGGATAAAACTTCACGGTATATCCCGCTTGCCTTCTCTCCTTTTCCTTGTTTTCTTGCCCTTTCTCCTTCCTGACTTGTCTTTAAAATTATGATTGTTCGAGGAATATAGGAGGAAAATGGCTGGTCTTTCTACTAATAACACTATCGATGAAAAACGCAATTTGATATGAGATTTGGCAATTCATCGAAAAGTAATTGTATAAAAAGATGACGAAAAATGTAGTTATCATTTGACAAAAAGCTATCTTTCAATATAATCTGTTTTAACTTATAATTTAACATTATTATGTTATTTGATATTAATTGATTTTTCATTCGATAATTTTTATGCTACAGATTTTAATTCTTAATTGGTTGATTATACACAGTGCGACAAATAATTTCCCGGAATAGTGCTATATAAAAATGAAACGAATTGAGTTTTTTTAGTTTTCTCTTTTTTTTTATTTAAAATATTCTCCTCCTGATTCAATACACTTTTTGCAACGATTCAACAATGATTCAAATGACTGCTTCAGTACATTTTGTGGTATTGTCTCCAAAGCACGAAGCCTGTTGAATTGTTTTTACATCTTCAAAATAGCATCCTTTCAACTTTATTTTCATTTTGGGGAATAAAGAAAAGTCACATGGCGCTAAATCAGATGAATACGGTGAATGATTCAACACGTAAACCTGATTTTTTATTTGAAAAAAATTGACTGTGAGCTATTTTGAAGATGTGGAAACAATTCAACAGGCTTCGACGCGTGCTTTGGAGGCAATACCACAAAATGAACTGGAGCAGTCATTTGAATCATTGTTGAATTGTTGCAAAAAGTGTATTGAATCAGGAGGAGAATATTTTGAATGAAGAAAAAGAGAAAACTGAAAAAACTCAATTCGTTTTATTTTTATAGCACCATTTTGGGGAATTATTTGTCGCACTGTGTATGTTGTTGTCGATGGATACATATGGATTGTCGAAAATTGGATTATTGATAATCATGATATTATTAATGAAAAATCAAATTTATATAATCAGATTTAAATAATTACGGCGTTTGTATTTATAAGAGATTTTTATTTAAAAATTGTTTACGCATTTATATTAAGTTACATTTAATTTATCGTAGTGAAATTTATATGTTGGAATACATGAGACATTTATTTTGAAATTGATATAATAGATCGCAGTTTTGTAAAACTTAATAATGTCAATACAAATATATATTTCATTTGTTAATAAATTTCTCAAGTTTCTCAGATTCAATCTCATTATAATTATAATTGAAATAGAATTCTCTCGTATGATACAATGTAATACATGAAGATAGTATGCGCTTTTATTGGAAAGAACAGATTTTTTCCAAGAGAAATTAGAATATGTATTTCGTGTCGCATTAGAAAATTAAAAATGTTGAATGCTAAACTATTTTGACATTTTGTCGTTGTAATTCAATTAGATTAGGAGTTAATAGTTGTAATCATGGTGAGATTATAGATTTGGATAATTACTAATCCTTCAGTTGGTTTGTTTTATCTAAACCAGAACGCAACAGACTTGGTTGCCTGTGCAGTCCTGCGTTTCGCGTTTCAGCAACGGGGAACATGTGTCCGTGCAGACTCCACCATGGTGACGGCAATGAGTTCTGAATTCTGATTTAACTGTAATGATAAAAAAATTATTAATTGAAAAACTTTATTTAATGACAAAAAAACGCTTTTTATATCGCACAGATCAAAAGAGAATATTTTTCGCAGGCTTATTTGCTATAAACAAAAAGAAATTTAATATTCTTACGATAATTTAGTTATTTTTTGTTCTAAAAATTATAATAATATTTGCTAAAAATTAACAAATATGAAAATTCTTAGAAAATCAATTTTCGAGATATAAATTTATATTCAGATAATAGCATAGAAGATGTCATTAGACAAAAATGCGATAAAAATAGAAAATTGCATTCAACTCGACATTTTTATGTCATGAAAATGCTACATAAATTAATTTATTAAACATTTTTGAAATTCATAATATGACAAAGCGAATTTCATGAGAGTGTATATGTGATCTGATGCTAATCTGTGTAATTGCGAAAATAATTATTACTTAACTATACACATATTTATTATGTATTTATTACAAAAAATAGGTAATAATGGCGCATTGAAGATTAATATAAAATAAATATATAAAAATTATTATATTCTTAAATATCATAAAAATATATGGTTCTATGATTCATTAATCTATAATCAATGTGCAAAAGTTTCTGTACGATATAGCGTCTATTTTTCATTGTAATAATAATTATGTGTAGCAATGTGATAATGTTTTATAAAGTGCGAACTCACCTACGCTACAGCATGATGTCCCCTGTTCGTGGCATAAACTTTCACCTTTTATTAATTGATCGCACTTGTCATGCACAACGCAATTCTCTTGAGGACATATTTCATTCGTATTGGCATATTCTACAAATAAATTTTGTGATTTTGTTGAAATTGCACTTTAATATAATAATATTTAAGAATTTTCTTTGTTGCATTGTCAAAAATTAATATCAGATACAAAAAATTATCAGGTATTATATACATACTTAATATACTTTACGCGTTGCATAAAGTGCAATAAAATATTATTTCAGTTGCACAAGGTTAACCACTAACAATAAGATAAGATAATTTTTTAGTAGAACTATACGTGTAGAAACATAAATAAGAATTCTAGCTAAAGAAAAATAAAGTTATGCAAATTTTAAATTATAATTTATCTCCATATGAAAGCTCCATATTAATTTACGAAAAATTACTGCTTTGTAATGAATTTATAAAAAAAAGTTAACTCTCTCTTTTAAAGCAACAAAAAAAGAACGTAATATACTAAGAGTAAAAAAAGTAATGGCAAAAAATAAAGAATAATTGCGAAAAATTTGGTTAATTTATATACATATGATATAATAAAGTAAAGTAAAATTAACTTTACAATATTTTAATTTTGATATTAAGTAAAATAAAGATTTTAAATTAATAATTAATAATTATTAATAAATTAATAATAAAAATTTTGTTAGTATTACATTTAAATAATAGTTTTGAAATTAGATAATAATTTATGTGTGAAATCAATCTCTCTTTCTTAATATATGTGTATAAAGATCTATGATATGTTTATATTATAATGTTTCGAATATATATTAGCGTGTTAATTTTTCATTTTACATAAAAGATGCTCACTTACCAGTGTAGAGGAGGATAGTCGCGAGAACGACGAATACAAGCGTGTAGGATTTCATTCTTTCGGCGAGTAGAGGTGTCGGAATAGTGGGTATGAGTCTGACAGCCGACGATTCAGTGGTCTCACATTCCCAGGACGCTCCATTATATAAACGAAAGCGGTAGGTGGTACACGAACACACACACGTCTGAGTAAACACTTACACACGATCGAGAGATCTGTTGTGACCGAGGTTGTGACGCATGTTTAATTTGTTATCTATTTTTATCGTTTTCAGATAAGGCTTCATCACACCTCTATGATTCATTATTCAATCGATATTATGCTCCTAGAATAGGAAGGAGCTGTAGTGAAGAGAGATTTAAATTCATTGCTCGTGCGCTTGCATTTACTCTATTCGAAATAAGTGGTACCAGCATCGCAATTCTTTTCCACGTTTTTGTAACGTATTGATAACTCGACTGGAGATAACAGACGAATGTTAATTGTGTCATAGGGGAAAGAGTTCATTGTAATGCATACAATGGTGTTTTTAGTGAAATTATGCAATTGAGCTTTAAAACTAAAGTGTACACTTTCCCTTTCTTTAATCTTATTGCCAAATCTTTAGTTTAGTGGTGCAGTTATGAAGTTGTAAACTCATTTTCGAACAAAAGTTATTTGCTTGACATATCAAGATTAAAATCACAATGGTTGATCGTATCTTCAAAGTAGACAAATATTGTTTTGTAATATTAATCCGATTTGTGGAACATTGTATAACAAATTTATCAATCTTATTTATCAATCTTCTACGGAGCTCATTATCTGGTGTCGTTCAATGACACTAAAGATTATATCGGCATTTTACTCATGGAATTTTTTTCGCGTATTACGTGTAAAAATATTAAATTTAATTTGTAGTAAGTAGTAGCATAATAAAGCGTATATGTACGTGTCCTGTGCTGTTGTGCCTGAAATAATGATTAATTACATCGGGAGATGTCGTATCTCCATTTGTATTGCAAGTAAAAATGGATTAATGATTTAACAAACAGGTAGAGAGAAACATCTGTAAAAAAGCAAAGAAAAAGTTGACAGTATGCGAAATAGAAATATGTCATATGTACATTATATGTTACTGATTAGAGAAATCAGGAGACTTTTTAATATCATGGGCAGTGCACTTTTAATATACAAAATCAATAAAAAAATATTTTTATAAATGTGTCTCATCTATTCACAGTTCTATTTCACAGTTTAGTAGTATGTGTCACACTTGTTTTACAAAAAGTACTTAAAATGATCATCTTGAGATTAAATATAATCTCTAAATGAGGCTATTGACTTGTTGGAAAATTTTTATCGTTAGATATTCAAATTTTGTTTCAAAATAATAATAGACGTATGTCAATATTAACTATTAATAAGTTAGATTTAGATATTCTTATAAGGTAGATAAGAATCAAAAGATTTAAACTTTAAAATTAGTTGATGACATTAGATGATGAGATAATAGATCTATCATTAAATCTCTCTCTTTCATCAGGTGGATTAATTTATTATTGAAAAGATTAACTTGTTACCAAGCACTCTACAAATAAGCACTCTACAAACAATTTTATCATCCATTGATATCAACCTTGCTCTTTTTTAATAATTTAAATTGATAAACAATTATAACGATAAAAATTATTTGGAAATTTCTTTAGTTCTTTTAACTTTGGAAAGTAAGGGATAGGACGTTTGAACGTTTCTACGTTTGCTAAAATTATTTTCATATTTATAAACTGTATTTCATTATCATTCGACTTATTGGCACATTTTAAAACAGCGATTATGTGAAAATGTAAATTATAAATAAAAAAATATTATAAGAGAAATTACAATGGATTATTACATAATCGTACAGATAAATAAAATTATTTTATAGACAAGTCCATGTATAATGTTCATCATTATTCTTTATCTTTTTATTAATACTTTTATTTTGTATTGCTGCCGTCGATACGCTCAAGCGTCCGTAATTTGAAATTCCAACAAATATATGGCATTGTTTAAATTTTTATTGATTCCTTCCAAAGCACGATTGCTAGATGTTTCCAGCATCCTTTTCTGTTCTCAAATAAAAACGAACGTAGATATGTGTTCACATTACGTCCTTGGGAAGAACATACTTGAAATCTACACCTCTTATCATAGTACAATATAGTACAATTCCAACTTAAACGAACGATGGAATAATAAGTACTTTCTACTGGGCTTCGAATGTACAAGTTGACTAAGCCGAAATTTTTAGGGCGTAGTAAGACGGTAAGCTAAAATTATATCTCACGACTTGATCGACCAAACATCTAACTCTTTTTCAAATATTGCTCGATTCTATTTTTACGAATACTACTTTTTACATTTGAGCTAACTTAATTTTAATTATATTTGCGACTTAAGATGGAAAAGAAAATTATTAGCGCAATTTTCGCGTATCGTCTTGTCAGACTTAAAATGGAAGAGTTAAACGTAACAATTTTTAAAGTGTGGATGAAAGGAAAGGAAAAAAAGAAAGGGAGAGCAGCCGTCGTGACACTTACTGCCGTAAAAATTTCCCATTTACCTAGCATTAAGACCTAAATTTATATGTACAAATGGATAGACTTTATCAGTACTGAGCATAGTAGCGTACATTACATATTATTAATGTTAGAATACTGTACACGATAGCACTTTCGTGAAAATTAAAAGATTTGTATTGACTAGAAAACGAAATCTCATCAAACGTCCAGACAAAAGTGACGCGCGCGACTTATACACTCGAGTTGAAGAAGAGCGAAATTATCGATCTTGATTATCTGAAGAAAACAAACCTAACACTTATACGTCAATTATACATCTGCCTTCGTGCTCGTTTGGCATTTCGCGCTCCGAGACATTATCGCCGAGACATTGCTTTATTTTATCTGGATGACAGATTACGCGCGATAAAAGTCTGCGGGAGATCATTTTCGATCACTGCTGAGCTTTCGTGACTAAACTCGGCACGAGATTTTTTTGTTTGTCGAGTTTTTTTTCTGCGCAAGGAGGGAGACGCACGAGATCTAGCGTCTCCGTATCTAAAACTAACGATTGTACATTTCTGGAGAATCTGACTTCGCGCGAGGCATCATGCCCGGCGAGTACGACGCTCATGTCGACGTTTCGTCTTACACGAAATATTTCCGACGATGTGTCATTCACATTTCTGGAGATTAGCCGTTCAGTTCATTCCGTATCACAGTTAACTAAGATTACTTATGCACCAGGTCGATAGTCCGCTATTATATTCTTCAGGAACGTGTAGATATCCTTGAAGGTTGGTCGCGATGTTTCATCTCTTCTCCAACATGAGCACATCATCCGATAGACCTCCTCCGGACACATTGTTGGTTTCGGTAAAAGTACCTAAAATACCAGTATTCGAAGTCAAACAACAAATAATAAGCAAAAAGTTTCCAATTTTTAAACGCGGCTTTTGCGAAATGTGAAAATTTAATTTAATTTATTAAAAAACTTTAATATAATATTATTTTTAATTATTTTTAATATGTGATTAAAATGTGATATAGATTTGATTTGATCAATTTGTAATGTGTTAAAATTTCATTATCAAACAAGATTTAATGATTAATCGATGGATTTGGGAACAATTAATTGTAAAATCCGTATTCATAGTGGACCACTATGAATCGGCATAATACATCATAATGAATCAGATTCATTGTGATTGGTCCATTATGAGTTGTCAGTTAGACTTAGCAGTCAGGTCAACTTGAAGAATCGATAGTTTGATACAGGCTTTATACTTAATAAATTCACAAATTCATCGATTAATCATTAAATCTTGCTTGATGATGAAACATTTAACATATTACAAATTGAATAAATTTCAAATCTATACGCAATCAAATTTATATCATATTTAGTCATATTTAGTTATTGATAGTTGGATCAGCTTGCAGAATTGGTCTGATACGAGCTTAAAGCTTGATTGCTGCCGATCCAATAAGATGCTTACTTGTAGCTCCGCTCCGTAATACATGTGCTCGGCGTTCTGAATAACTTGATCATTTGACAGATGTTGAAAAGGTTTTTCCCTAGCCAGACTCATTACCTCCCAGAGTGTCACGGCAAACGACCATATGCTACTCGAACATGTATACCTATCCTGAAATTTAAATATATAAATATTACTGCAGCCCTTGATATGCCCTTAAGATCGATCACATATATTTGTCTCATAAATTGCGACTTTAATTTTAACAGATTCTTTGAATAAATCTGAAATAAACTTTCTGTAAAAAAATGTAGAGGCTTGAATAGTGTCTGAACTGTAAATAATTGAAGAAAAACACTTCGCGAACTTAAATTTTATATGAAGAATTTGCTTCAATCGATTTTTCGTTTAAGCTTTATGTGTACGTTACGAAAAGTTATAAATTGGAAACTTAAATTAAATGGCAATCTCTTTCGACGTTTTTGCATTCAATTGCAAATTAATTAGAGAATCTATAATTAAAATAAAACGCTAAATTGTAGAATATTGTAGCACACTTTTGATAAGGAAAACTGTAGAGCACTTGAAAAAGAAAAAGTTAATTACCAATAGAATGCTTTCCCACGGTAACCATCTGATCGGTGCGGGTGGTCTACCTCCTATATCGCTGTAATCCTTCTTGTAAAGATCGCTGCACATGGCTATATCGGTCACTTTCACGGTGTAGGAACGGCCCACCAGACAATTTCTGGCCGCCAAGTCCTTGTGCACCAGATTCTTCGATTCGAGGAATCTCATTCCTGACGCTATCTGCGTTCCCATATATAGCAGACAACTTTGACTAAAAACAATCAAATAAATTTTTTATTTACGAAAAATTTGTAAAGCAAACGTTGCGGAGAATATTTAAGCTTTGATACATAGTTAATTGCCAGATAAGGATTATTCCAAAGATTTTTTACCTAAGAGCTTTTAGATTGCAATTTGGCCTGAGCGTTCCCGTGAGCGGTACACTGTATTGAAGATAGTGAGCGAGATCACCGAGCTCCGTGTACTCGATGATCGTCCACGGCGCTGGTTCGACAGTGCAGACCCCTAAGATACGTGCCACATTCGGATCGGATAAACACGATAGAAATTGCACTTCCCTCATCTGGTCTACTGCGTTGTTAATTCGAATGTCGCTGGTACACAGGGGCACGCGAGCGACGACTAATCTGGGTGCGCCAGATACGATCTCGTCTAGACCAACAGCTTCGCAAATTATAGCCTGCAAATCGTACAAACAATACTTTCTTTAGCGTATGTCTAACATGTGTAAAGTATCGAAAATGCACCGTGATTTTTTTTCCATTGGAACAATTCTTTATCTTCAGTTGATTAACTAATTCGCGATAATTTGTCGAATTTAAAGTTTAACGATAGGCGATATAGTAAACAAATGTCTTTATCAGTCCAACGTTCAGTCCAAGAGTTGATCATGTTATTGATGATGACGTTGATTATGTTATTTGCGCATATTCGAGAAATTGCGTAATACTGCCAGAAAGAAAAGCAAATACATATCGGGATTGCAGAATGCGTACACGTTATTTACAATTAGATAAATATGTAAATTACATGTCGCCACCGCCCGCAACTGTCATTAAGCGCAAAGCGGGGCCAGAAACGCGTATAAGCTGCGGGTATATTTGTACGTGTCGTATCATAAGTACGTGATTAATTAACAATAAGATTATACTTTCCTATTTTTTTCATTAACATTTAAATATTTTTATTATGATATGACACGTATTGGAAGAAGATACACATTTTAGCATGTACAATAAAGATAAAGAAGTAAGAACGTGATGTTTTTTTTTAAATAACTTGTACTGAATTATTTTTTAAAATAATTTTCATTGAATTTGCACATTGTTTATATACGTTTTTGTAAGGGATGTCGTACCTCTCCTATGGTTCTCGAGCCAAGTTTCTCTGTCGTTCTTAGGCACTGACGTGGTATATTGGTTGGCTCTACCTCCTTGCACTTGTACGGCTTGTTCATGCTGGGTGCGATGTTCCAACTGACGACAGGTGCTGGTATCTGTAATTGAGTGATATTTTTTTCACGTGCTCGTGACTGTCATACCTTTCTCTACCTTCTTCTCGTTCTGAGAACAGGTTCTCGGCAACGAGATAGGCGGAATCGACGTAAATTGTGCTTTGATGTCGAAAAACTAAGAAGGTTTGAAGTAGCGGCAAGTTTGATTTCTGAGCTACGTGTAGTAACGTACTTTTCCTTTGCTCTCGCGCGCGGCGCAATCAGTCAAATGCACCGTCAAATTGTACGATATACAACTAATGTGTACCTTGTGCTTCTCCTTTGGCGCTGTATGCCAGCGTTTCGAGTGAACCTGATCGACGTCCCTTTGGTGATTGGGCGTAACCGCGATATTGAGTTTCCTAGTTGGACTGCTATAACTTTGAAGGGTTCTGTAATGTTGAGAGTGACGAGCCGGCGAGTTGGTTGGTGACGAGGAACAGCTGGATGGACCGACCGCGGATTCCGGTCTCGCGTCCAGCCGTACATTCTCTTCCGAAATTTCTATATTCTTGAAATCCTTCGGGGATTCTGAAAAACATCATTGTTTTATCATTCTCTGCTTTTTCGCGATAGCAACGGCCGTTTTTAGCACGGCAGCTACTCTCAGGCGCGATTAGTACAATAATGCTAATGCTTACTCACCGGAATTGGCTACGATCGCGTATGTGGATTTGTATTGGGGACTAACGAGCGGCGAGTTAAATTGCTCCATCGTGAGTGATTCGTGCATGCTAACATCCTCCGGTATATCAGGTGAAACATGATTGGCAGTTTCCGCTGCCAGCATCCCACCGGGTGTTAAGTTCAAGAGAAGACCCTATAAAAATCGTAAAATTCAGTTTATTTCAGTACATTTCTTAGTTTTTTATTTTATTTCCGAGGATTTTAAACAAAATATATAATAAAATAATAGGGTAAATTTATAAGTAAATGTAAAATTTACCTTACCTTCATATTTATGGCGAAACCAAATGGATTTTTTAACACCGTCGGGGAACTCTGCAGTTTTTGCCGCCGATTTAAAAAAAGGATAATGAAGAAGACCAGCAGGAGTAGCAATATAATGGCAGTGAGGACACCTATCAGTACCTCCAGATATTCTTGGCCGTCTCCTGGCGCTGTAACTAAACAAATTTATGGGAATACGTGACATCATTGCTACGTCGAACAACATAGCAAGATATATTTTTGTTCACACACACACACACACACACGCGCGCGCGCACACATTTTATATCTATTTTTAAATTCAGATTATATTTTTCTTCAAGCTAATAACTAAAGTTCAAAAACTCTTCCCGTTGGAAGACCATTTTATCGTTCATGAATGAAGTTAGATTCTCTTTCTCCAACCATTATTAATTTACATTGCAAAAACTATGATTATCCTTTGTCGTATACTGTCTGTGCCAAGTGCTCTGAAGCTGCGGCAGGACGACTGCAATTTTTTTGCGATGGAAGTAAATAAGTTCGTCGAAAGTGTTTGCGTGATGAGCAAGATCTTCTGATGATTTTTCTTCGATCAAGTGCAAAATGGGCCGATGAGCGAGTAACTGTTGAAAAACCGCAGCGAATAACTATTAAAACACCAATTTAATTCAAGAAAGATTCGCCGTACGAGTTCCAATGCCGGACGAGAAAATCTGGATTTCAAATGACGCTTCCTCTCGGTCGTGCCACGTTTAGAAAAAGAAAATTGCCCCAAGAGAAGCGCAGAAATGCTTTTAATTCCCACTTTTATGCTCACGCGTCCTTCTTCGCTCGTGCTCCCGTTTTCCTCATTTCTTGCTCCTTTCGCGGTTTTATCCTTTGTTTTTCAAGGAACAAACGGATACCTAACGGTATTAAGAGATGAAACTTTGTGCCGCGAATCCGGCATTATGCACATGTATCGCGTTTGAATCTGCCATTATCGACCCATCTATTTTTTTTTTACGATTTTTGAGGTTCTGAGTTTTCAACGTGACAACATCGTTTGCCTATACGTCTACGGCTCATTATACTTTTATAATCGAGGCAGACAGCTTATTGTTGCTTACCACTGTTTTATTTGCAGCCGCGCATTGAAACGTATTTAGCGGATTTCATATCGCCCGTATTGGATGATATAGGATTTTAGAACGTTATTTTGGCGCGATGCTTTTGCATTCTCCAATCGATTATTTTTGTTCTGCTCTCATATCTTTTTATTTATTTTGCTTAATCTCACATTCTTTCATTTATTTTATTCAACTCATTTATATGGAGATAGACATGTTGCATACATTTTTAAAAGACATACCTTTAGCAATTATTTTTTTAAGAATCTCAGTCTGTCACTATAATATAAAGCGAAAGATAAAACATCTGCTTTTTTAATGTTTTTTTTTTAGAAAAATTTTCGAAATAGTATACTTTAAGTTATTTTTTATCTTATGAACAAAATACTAGTTTGATATTTGTTTTAAATATAAATGTATACTTATATACTGTTAATATTTGCAAGATATAAACGATGACGAATGATGTTTTAAGTGCGATAACAAATAAGAGAGTTTCTTAATTTTTTAAATAATCAATTTTGCAATAATGCGTATCTATTTCTTCAAAATGAATAATTACTTTTATCTTTCGTTTCTTTATTTTAAGCTGACTAGAGAAAATATCTGTACCTAATCAGAGAAAGAAAGAGAGAGAGAGAAAGGGCAGGAGAGTATGAAGAATAAAGTTCGGCATTTGTGCAATTTATCAGAGATATGTAATTATGGAATTGACTCTCTGTTCGGGTTTCTCTCTCTTGCTTGCCTCCTTCGTTCTTTTATGATTCTAATCCTGCCTCTTTTCCGCTCTGTCGAATCAGACGTTGGCTAATTCGCATAATCGATCGCGCGAAATATCGGCGCTTGAATGAATTATGAAAAGTGATGTGCTTTCTTTAGTTTTTTCCCCGCGCTCGTGAACTATATGTAAAAAATTGCGTGCAAGAACTATATTAAGTACGGCACCACCAGCGGCCGCGTCCTTTTGAATTCAGACCACCGTAAAGCGGACGCTCGGTTTACATGTTGTTTTTAGTTACTCTGTTTTTTACCCTTTGTTTCCTTTCCCTCGCGTCGCGTCGCGCCGTCCTTTTTAGCGCGCGTGCTGCATCTGCGCGGTCGGGCGATTTCGCGGCTGCTTTATTTGAGGACCCATTCGCATTTCCTTTATTTATAATGGAGAACCAGGAAAGTGCTCAGTCTATTTTTTTCGATGGGGTGGAGGGATAGGATTCGTGGGTGGCGGGGTATATAGCAGATAGAGCAGCGTAATTATGCCGCAGTCGAGTATTCTTCCCAACATCCTCCCGCGTCCTCATTTATCTGCTGCACTTCCTGTTATCTGCATCTTCCTCACCCCCGTCTCCGTGTTATAAGTTTTTCCCATTTTTTATTCTCATTTCTCGTCCTCCTTTCGTAATGTAATTTATCCCTCCGTATTCATGCACGCTTCTCTATCTATTCGGGCGACAAATTAATGTTGTATTTATTTCCTCCTTCTAACGGTCGACATGCATACCGTGCGCTTTTATCATACGTTTTGGGACATATCGCCTGGAGACCTAATGTAATTGTTTGTTGTTGATATCAGAAAATTGTGGCTCAAATTAAAACTATGCGTATATAGGTATATAGAAATGTTCCATTAAAAATACCTCAAGTTATCAGAATTTGCTGTGCCTATACATAATATTCTTGATTCTCCTTACTTCCGTTTATCCTTCTTTGCGCCGCGGCTTTTAATTTTTCATGTGAATAAGCAATTTCTTTGATTATACTTAATGATTCAAACGGAAAAATGCATATCTTTAATGTGTTTTGCGGCCTGGAAAATGGAGCGTAGGATTTGTTGTTGGCACAAACTATGAGATATACGCAATTATGCCAGAGTCGAGACCTTACTTTTCTTTTCCTGTTTTCTTTTCTTCTTTCCTCAAATGCGCTACCTCTTAACCCGACTAATTGTTTACGTTACGAGGAAGTTGCTACGTGAATTATAAAGTGCAACCGCATCTCTTTCTCTTCTATGTCGGACAATGACTTTTCCTAATCGCATCTTCTTCTTGGCAAAGAATAACGGCCACGCTAACAAAGTTAGCTGAATAAATGTCGCGCATTTTCAAAGTAGACTGAATACGCGTGTTACAGACAATTTAAAGATTATAAATATTACAATATATATTGTAATATTTATAATCTTTAAATTGTCTGTAATATATCTGCATAGACATATAATATAGCAATAAGTAAAGATTTAAACCATCGAACGAAATAAAATTGACATTATCGAGAATTTCAAAAGATATTTATTTGAAATAATAAGATCATAAAATCAAGTGTATATATATATGTATATATATACCTATATATGTCAATATGTGTTCTTATAAAATCAAATACTTTACGGTTTTATTATAAATGTTTAACAAAGCCATTATACATTTATTGGATAATTAGCGGATAATTAAATTTATTTGACGAGTACAAATTTATCTTCGTTATGCTGACTTTTTAATCGTTTAAAATTTTCAAATGCAGTTAAGTTGAAAATAGATCTATATAATATAATAATTGATAATACAATGGAAATGTTAAAACGGAAACAGTGGCGAATAATCAAGATCAATGATCGCTTTCATTCGTAATCATTTGTGCAATAATGTATCCAATAATTAATGATGAAATTGATTTTAAATGTTATCAACTAGCTGGTAAATTTGGAATTAAGTCTGAAATAAGCGTGCAAGTAAAACATTATTAACTACGTGAGAGATGCCCGAGATGGGTGCACAAATAAAACGTGAAATACTAAATGTATGAAATACTCTTATAAATCCAGAGCCGTCCTAGTTAAAGGCATGAGAAATGAAAAGTTTCTAGTAGCCGATGCTTAATTAGAACGAGATTGATACGAATTAAATGCCACTCTCGGCAAGTTACTTACTCGTTTGTAAGTTGAGATCCACTTCGGGGTTGACTGGAATCTCTTGGTTGCTGAACTCGGACGCCGCTTCTTCCGTAGTGTTTTCGTAGGGATTTGCTGAAAGCGGAAAATAGCTGTGTAGCTAACTTGAATTCATGGAAAATTTCTCAGATTTATGAAGGAGATCTATTTAAATGCGAATTAGCAAAATGACAGAAGAGACTATTATAATATTTACTGTTTGCTTTTTTTTTAAATTTGCGCACTATTCGTACTAGTTGTAGATATTAAAATCATATTCATTAAACGCAGAAAAAGATCGTTGCTATACGCCCGCGAATATAAACGTTTTTCACGCAATTTCTGCCATCGTATTAAAAATGAGAAGTAGTAAAAAATTTTATGCCGGTTATTACTGCATAAAATTTCTGTACCCGAAGAATATTTTATATATATTTCACACATTCGCGTAAAGATTTAAATGGAATTACCGTGTGCGTTCGATATCGTTAATTCAAACGATCATTAGTGGGATAAAATTAAAGAAATGTGGTCGTAGATGTTCGAGACAAGGATGCGACGGTTATTAAAAGGTAATTGAAGTCGACGGATGTATGCGGAGCAGAACGAGATAATCCAATGGATAATTATAACTTTGTTTATTACAATATTTCTTAAAGCATTACGATCTGCGAATGATAGTCAAGTATGCGTTCATCATCTATTTGCGCAAGTTTTTCTTGTCGTCTAGGTTAGTATTTAGGTCAGGCAATATGCAAGATGTTCAAAGAAACCCGCGGGAAATCTAAAAGAGAATGCATATTGTTTCTTTTTTTTTCGTAGAATGACGTCGAAAGTAATGTAAAAACTAAATGTAAAAAGGGAAGATTGTCCCCGGACTGGACAAAATGAGACTGGAGGAAAATGAGATGCGGGAAACTCACTTGCGTCGAATGTCACTTCGCCGATTATGATCCATCGTGCGGCGAAGTACAGATGCAATTTGATAAGTCTTCCCTGCCGTTCGTGTAGACCGATTGAAACGTTTCGAGCGTTTTCCAGCACGACGTCCGGTATATAGGAATAGGGCATGAACTCGTCTTCATAGATCTCGCCATCGGTGCTGAACCATATCTCCGCCTTCGAAAATACCTGTTGTGCAAACCAGACCAGGCATTGAAACGCACGTTCTCTTTGAAGTTTAAAATGATCGAGAAAAAATCCAATTCCTCTCTCTGTTAAATGTTCAAGTTATTTAGAAACAAAATTATCACGCGAGAGATACTTTAAAGCAGTGCTTTAAAGCTAAATTTTAAATCAAACATACTATACGTTATTAAAAAAAACAACATAAATTGACAAATATTAATATTCTGTTTTGAAATTTAAAAGATGCATAACACAAGAGGAGTAGAATAATTTCTACTATACTATTTCTGCATAAAGAGGACATAGTGGCTGCCATATTCCAGAAAAATGACGATTTGCGATGCGCTTAAGCTTGTTTTTATCGTGTAGTTACATTCGTTTTTGTTGTGTGGTCGATGCACTTTGATACATATGCAAAAACTCTTCTATGTTATGAACCGTATGAGGGCATTGACATCAAAGAATATGTATATACATGATGATAACTATCAACTATATAATCGACAAATCGTTAATCATGTCATTTATAATACATGTTGCGGATTGATATCTACAAATGACATCTGTAATATAGAAGAGACAATATTTCTTGCCATGGATATTCTGTTTCATCTTCGGCGATATTCGAATGGCATTTTTTGATTGACATGTTCATAATGATACACGTAGCGCAATTATTTCGTTTTGACGCACAGTTCGATGAAAAGCAGTAATCACATTACTTAAATCCTGTTAATGATATTGCTTTCAATTGATAGGTATCTTGATACGTGATGTATCAAATTTTGATCATGTGAAAATGTTTCATTAGTTAGTATTATGCATAACGTTTATGTTTAATTCACAATTAGAAATAAAAGAAAAAGAAAAGATACAGATTGTTCTCAAAATGTATTTAAAAATCCCATCAATCGACAAAAGTATGTATCGTTGTGAAATTTATCTTGACTGACAATCGTGATTAAATTTAATTTCTTCTGCTTTGCACGAAAAGAAGGGTTGATGAAAGTACGTGAGTAGAAAATACGTTGTGCAAAAGTGAGTTGAACATTACCTGAACGTCCCGTGAGAAATAATTGTTGGTATAGATGTGTACCGCCTCGAAGACCATCATGGCTTCAAACTCGAAGATGAGCTCCACAAAGTTCTCTGGGAAAGTGTCACGAAGCCAAGCAACCCAACCCGTGCCTGCAACCAACGGAGAAAGAACTTTCATACAAAACGCAATGAATTGCGCTACTTTGTCGCAGTTCTCCGTCGCAGCAAACAAACACATTGTAATTGTTACAAAGGATTACACGTAATGGTAATTTCAGAGGTTTATTTTTTTATTGAAGGATAGGGGACCGTGGAAGGATAAAGTTTCAGAAGAAATTTATAATCGCGAAAGACAAACTCTTTTTATTTCGATATCTCGCGATAAAGTTACGAAGCGATTATAATGAAGCGAGAGCAAAGCTGTTGACAACGAAAAATACTGAATATATTGAAATATATTTGCAATAACTATAGGTATCTCATACGTAAATACAATGATCGCGGATTTTTTTTAAATATAAATAGAGATACAGTTTGCCTGAAACTGACTGTTTTAGCGATAATTATTGAGATATCATTATCTATGTTCCGCTAATTAACGCTCTCGCACGTGTTCACCCACCGATTACCTTTTCCATTTCCCATGTCCAGTCTGTAATTATCCGCGCCGACCTCGCCATCGATTAGACAACCCAAACCATCGGTCAGCAAGTTGTTCTGCCTCTTACCGTCGTACGAGATGTCACTAAACTCCGGTAGGGAAGCATCTGGTATAGTGTAGCTCATGACACCGCCTGAAACAGAAGAAAGTTTTCGCGTGACGACCTACTGTGCAACAGTAGTTTTCTTTTAAAACACACTCGTCTTTCAAACTTCTACGTTACACCTGACTTTGTAGTACTATTAGTTGTGTTTTGTCTGTAGTTGGCACTCTTCTTCTTTTTTCCTTTTCTTTTAGATAATTACGTTGTTTTCAAATTTTCAGCTAAAAGTGTATAAAGTAACGGCACTAGTCATTTGTTAGAATAACGAAGATTTAGCCGGAACAGAAAATATCTCGACAAAAATAATTTCCAAAAATACTATTAGTACTATGTCACGTGCATCTTCAGTTAGGATATTTTTCACGAATTTTTCCCTCACGCGGACGTATCATTATTAATTATTACCATGAGAACGGTTGAGAGTAAAAATTATTTCGTGAATTTTCATATTATCCCACCCGAAATTTACCGTGTATTTCGCAAACAGCAGCACTTTGCTCCAGTTCCCGGATACACTTCGAAAATGAAGTGGCGCTGCTTAATAACATGCCGTGAAGCGGCGGCGGAGAAGGCGCTTAGTTAAAATTAATCAATTAAAATTAATTAAAACGACTTGGTCGGCGGTGGCGGACGGCGTCCGCAAGGGACGGACGGCTGGATTTTCGTAGCGGGAAAATTAATAACGGACCGCAAAAATGGCGCGGTGCGCCCACTTTGCCATGTCGTGTTCAAAATCGCTTAACTACTCTTAATATTTCACGGTATATACGGTCCGCGGCCGGCCGTCGTTGTCACGCGATGTGGTCAAGCCAGTTTTGGTCAACGTACCTTTGCCTGATTCCGTGTCACGTGGATGACGCCGAGGTAATAATTTTACTTAGAACAACGTAACGCCTCGTCGCCACGCGGTTGTTCTGTAACTGGCATCTACCGCACCGCGCGTACAGGAATTGTACACGATTGTACGAGTATAACATATCAAAATAAGAGGTCGACCTCATTCTCGAATAAATGGTCGTCCCTTTAATCAAGATACTTGCGCGTACCCTCGAGAAAAATAGAGAAAAATACATAAATTAAAGGCCGTGATAAGATTTTAGTGCACGGGGTTCGCTATAAATTATATTGTATTCGTTAAAGGAATGTGCGGGATACGTGGGACACGTTTGGGATTGTACAAATGCCGTGCAACAACGTTCCAACAATAAGGAAATAAATGGCGAGTCGAATTAATCTGCAATTGAAGCGACGAAGTCAGGCTCTCTTGGCGTGCACCTCTTTACGTGCTCGAGAATCGTTCGTGTAAACTGGTGAACATTTCAGCGATGTGTCGCTGATATTCCTGCCATTTTTTGAAGGTACGCATTAAAGGACGCCGTATTTCAGCACGCGTCAGAAACATTGCTCTTACAGGGAGTCTACTCTGTAATCTGGCAATCCGCTAATCTAATCTGCACTGGCAATCTCCTTCCCGTCTGCGGCTTGAAATTATTGCGAATTTTCATTGGAATTGTTGGAGCAATTTCCCAGCAGAGTGCAATTCTTAACAAGTCTGGCGTTAATATAACTTTTCGCAGGCACGTGTGAAGAAATATGAACGACTAGAATATAGACTATTGTTAGTGGAGTGAGTTTTATCTGCTACATACATTGAAATATAATTTATTTCTATATATTATATTTAACATACAGGACGTATCTTGTAACTTTCGGCCTTAATTTTAATGACAGGTTTTCTTACAAATATCAAGGAAAACCTCTTACTCTTCGCATTTATATTTTTAATATCATTTATTTTTTTAACCGGATTTCAAAATAAAATTTTACATTAAAGAAAGTTTAAAGTTAATTAAAAATATATACATATTTCCATCCGTTTCCTTTGAAAGAAGAAAATTCTGTCTTTTTTTAATCTGCAATTTAAGATAAGCTCGCAAGTGTGTGATATTCTATGTAACGCTAAATTTGCCACGTATAATTCCTTGTATATAGATATACAGACATACAGATCGTTCGAGCAACCATGAGTAACGTCGCACTTTAATAAATGATACGTTGGTTACACCGCGCTCTATCAACCGAGGCTTAACACACTTGTATTCTGTCAGACCGCGAATGTCAATACCAGGAGGACAATGTCGTGGATTCTGTACCGCGTTGACCGAGTAGGCCGTGTTGCCCGCGATCCGGGGGTAATCGTTCGTGTTCACCGGCTCGGGGCAGGGCATCAGCGTTGTTTTAACTCTGCTGCCGTGCACGGCCGCCATAAATCCGGCATACCCGCCCAGTCGGGCTCGATCTCACACGCTCCGAATACTTCTTATAACGCGAAAGCTCTCATGTCGCCGTTTTACCGGCTCCGCGCCGTAGCGCTGGCCGTACATACGTCATCGTCCGAACATGTGCGGCCTCGTTGTTGTCGGACATTAGCGACCCAGAAAAATAATTTATGCAAATATTCCTTTCCTGGTTAGATGTTGATAATAAAAACGGAGACTCTGTCTCAGGGTTACAAAATCTTCTCTTCCATAGTATTGATTAACCAATTGATTAACATCATTTGTTAATTATGTATATGATCTCAAGCGGTACAATCTGCTCCTATTGTATAAACTTTTTTCTAAAGTTCAATATTAATTAATCAAAATATTGTGTAAGTAGAATTAAATTTCGTGTTTAACGCTGAGCATTCTGTTGTTTGCTTTTCACATTTTGGAAAGCAGAAATAACAATTTATGCTTTACACATAATGAAGAAGCAAACCCCTTTTTCATTTAATGTTTTTACGCATTCTTCATTTTACTTTGCTTTGTGTAATGTTACTGCTTGGGTTGATTGCACGGTTTCTTTTTCGCGTAAAACACATATTCTAACGATGCCTAGTACTTCTGCTATCAGCATTTAACGAGAAATTCTCCATCGGACTTCTCTTTGTGTGTTTTATTATTATTTTAAGATAACAGGAAAATAATAAAAAAAATTCATATAAATGTGATTGATTAAACACACAAATATTAAGAATATATCGAGCATACCTAAATATTGAGTTCAAAGGCTACTTATCTAAATAAAGAATAAATTTTTATTTATTTCTTTTTGCTAAATATTGGCATGCGGTTATCGTGAACGAGTGCTTATTAGCGCATAATACGTACTGCTTTCGTTTAATCTTTACGACCTCACTTCTGACGCTCTTTGTTAGAATTTATATAAAATTATGTCTTGAATTTAGGGGTCCGGTAAAGTAAACGTGGACGAGAAAAGAAACTGTATGCAAATTTATGTAAATAGCATTGTGATGTAGCGCACAGCATGTTTGTTATACACAGCGCACGCACCTGTATATAAATTATGAGAACGGGTTTCATATGCGTCACGAATACTTAACATTCGTTACCTTGTTAGATCAAGACTAAAAACTCGGAGGGAGAAATAAATTGAAATGTTGGCATACTCCAGATCTTAATCAGATCTGAAGCGAAAATTAAAGATATATAGAAAAATTTTGGCTAATACGAAGATGTTGAGAAACATCAAAAGAATTGCGAGAATTCTTCTTGCATTTCTTTTTCATAGAATTTATCATTTCAATCTTGAAATTAGAAAATAATTTTAAAGATAATTAATATTATTAGTTTTTAAGTATCAATGAAAATATAATAATTTTAGTTTTCTTAAGTTCCACTCTCTTAATTTTTCTTGTTCATTCAGCTTCCTTGAGAAAGACGTTTACACATTTAGAACAACAGTTGCGAAAATCGGAGAATTTTCGAATTTTCTCGCCAAGTCTGTTGTTGTCTCAGCGTAACGTGTATTTTATACTACAACAGCGCTAACGGTGCATTGATTATATAAGAGACATTAAGTACTGGAACTAGGTCGAAAACAAATATACGAAGCCGACCTAGCAATGAGATCGTCCGTATAACACTGTTACGAACGTTAATGGGATCTAGCACTGTAGTTAGAGTCAACGGCACCGTGCCTTCGCGTAGCCATCTCAACGGCGTCTCAGCAAATTGAATGAAATTGCAATTTGGAAATTAATCGTCAGATGTCCACTCGAACAACATCGTTGTGTCATCTTCGTGCAGCCATGCGCAACCCGGTTGCATACATGGTTCAGGTCTCAAATATCTATATATTCACGATTTTAAATGTTTCTAATTAAATGCACCAAACATTATGTTGAAACGAGAAATGTATTTATAAATATTATTTAATGTCGTTTTTGTTTTGTTGGTTGTGCTTATTGATTTGTTTGCAATACAAACGGTACGCTCACATTTTAACACGAATATTAGTAATAATATTCAATGCGAATTACATCAGTAATGTCATTTTCAATGATAATTTGATTACATAATATCTAAATATGCGAGTTTGCTATGAGTAGCAATCGGTTTGTATGCAAAAATTCATCTGACGCGAGAGGATGGCAAATGAAAACGTTTGCTTATCCGTGTAAGAGAATTTACGATGAACACATCATCGACAAATGTCATCATCGCGCTAATTGTCTTTAAAATTATTCAGTTCACTTTATAAAAAATATATTATAAAATACATTTATTTAAATAATGTATATAAAATTGTATATATTTAAATTTATTTTACTTATTTTATGACAATAATTAACAATAAGTTGCGAAAAAGCGAATTAAATTTTTTGTACGAGGTCTTATTTTTGAAAAAATTAATCTTGATTGAAAAATCAATAACAAATTAATTTTAAAAATACGAATTAGTAGTTGAATTATAGAAAACACAGGGCTTATTATGATTATTATATAATACTTACTCGTGTCTCGGCATCCTTTGAGCTCGATGCGAAGACAAACCGTACGTCTGTGTTCCGAGTGTGGTAAAATTCGGATTTGACTGGCAAAGATGGGTGGAATCAAATTGTGCGTTACAACGGTAGAGGTGTCGCTATTGCCGACTAAAACCTGCGGATCAATGCCATGCATATTAATAAAACGAAAAAAATCAGACATCGACTTTTCACACGTCAATTAAACTGTGAGACTTGCTATTTAACGACATTGTCACTTAAAATAAGGAAGTTTTTTTATTCTGTGTTGACAAGAGATAGACTTTTTTTTTGAATGACTGCGAGTTCAATGATATATGACTTTTATTGGATCGAAGTACCCGTACAACATTAATACGATTTAACGGTAATGGACATTTCGTCAGGAAATTTCTCGGTACTTGTGGACGTCTCAATTTTGGGATCAGTTAATATAATACTGACGAATATATGCGCGCTTAAATGTGTAGCACCATTAATTTCCCTGGATGGAAATATCTGAATATCCGCGTCTGGTATCGATGACAGTCGCGTTATCTCGGCGATAATACATTGCGTTAAATATGAACTTTTTGACTTTTCGAAAATTCCGTTTCGGTAAATTTCCGTTGAATTGACATTAACGTAACGAAGCGCGCGTTCGCGGATATTCGCGGAAGTCAATTATCTACAAAACTTATTTGCGGTACCACGCTTCAGTTCATTTCATCTTAATTTATTCTCGTTATTTATTGCGCCGTATGAACATATGATTGAACGATAAGAGATGATTCGGTGTAAATATAACACGACTATATCATTAAATTAGCTGCCGCTTCATTTTGCATTTTACGATCAGCTGCATTGATATCGCGGTGAATTATTAATAAGGGAGGATTTATAACGTTTTATATATTGAAGTAAATGTTACGCAATTTAAAGCATACAAGCATTAAAATATGAGAGAATTATACAACAGTTATTTACGTTTGACATCAGGTACACACGTCATTTTTATCTCATTCATTTGTTGCATATCGCACATCTAGTTACAAAAGATATAAAAGTTGCTGCATACGAGGGAATAATCGAAAATACACTTGTACGTATATAGAAGTTACATGAACAGAGATTATGATAGAAATAATTCCACGGTAGAGATGCGCAACGCCGAGGGCAGCGATGCGCGATTCAGTCGCGAACGCGCGATATTCGAGAGTGCGAGAAAAGAAGAGGATCCGATATAGGAGATCGAAAAAGGGAGGACTCGAAAACACCTAGCTCTCGAAGAGAGGAGGTTGCACTTTTAGCAACGCTTAACCATACGTTACGGTACGAAGACATTACGTGCAATTCTAGCACAAGAGCAGATCGCTTATCGATTGCCGCTTCTCACTTTCCTATTTCACGACTGGATCCTGCGAACGGTAGAAGGAGGACTGCGCGAAATCGAGCTCGAAGTTGAGAATATTGTCCGATTAACCGTGAACCGAAAGGATTTTGATATTACAGTAGCAAGATATGTTTCATTTAAACTGGATACTCTATTGTTTGAGAGATAGTTGGTAAATATTATTGGTTTCCTGGTAATAATGTATATAAAAGAATATCGAGTTATATTTCCTACCTACGTTATACAAACAGCGGTTAAATTACATATTAATTAAATTATTAATTAAATTACAATTTTGTGAGCATATTGATAATCAAATTTTAATGTATATGTGTATATACATACATAAGTATGTATATCATGAAAATTGAATTAATATTCGCCTTCTCAAATTTCTCTTTAAATTAATAACATATATTCAAATATTTACACACAATTGTTTAACATATTACATAGAGAGACTTATTTTCTCTACTTTTGCTTCCTTCCACTACTCGAATTTTTCTAATTGTTCGTTTCTCTTTATGCTCCATTTTATGAAGAACTTTAACTCACGATAAAATTTTCTTACGCGCGGGATAATTGACATGAGAAAAGTTTCATCAATTAAGCATCGTTAAGCGAGTGCCAAGTTTTAACTGTGACTTTACTAACAAGCGACTTCGAGCCCTGCGTTTCAATGGAATAAAATTCCAATTTGACACCAGACGCGTGGGTGATTCCGATCGGTTTTGTAGTTTTGTTCTACGTATCGTTTACGTACATTTGTTTGAGTTTGTTCCAATTGAGACATGGTGTAAACTCTCGATAGCCTGCATACAACACTTCTACAATCGAACGTTTGTTGTAATCAAACTCCACCAATTGCTCTCTTCTATGCAATACACTATTTTTAAAGCATGGTTTTCGTATGTGGTAATTAATATAAAAATATGTTGGCCGTATTATACATATAAAATATTATTTATATTATAGAATGAATGTATGGAAAAAAATATTGCAAAATTAATTATCGGAAAAGTTTTTAATAAAAATGTATTGCTTTTTTCCTTTATGTAAGGATTTCTCTTTTATCTAATATTAATTAATATTTATATTGATTTATATTAATGGAATGATGTACTGCATCGAGTCTGTTCAATACAAATTAAACTGAGGAGCAAATGAAAGGGAGCGTTGAACTCGGCAAATTGCGCTCCCCTTTCCTACGAATATCATCAACAGACGTGCCCGTTCTGTCTTACCTCGTTGTTGTCCCAACGCTTATATCGGCGCCATCGAGTGAAGCCGGGACGTCGATACTCTACAGTGTAATCCTCGACGTATTCCTGTCCGCGGCCGTGATCGTAACGGCCCTGTGTCTGCACACCGGTAACGACGTGAGCGCTCTGCAGGTCAACTTGAAGCCACTCACGAACCCCTTTCTCTATTTGGCTTTTTGGACACCAAGCCCCGCCGGCGGTCTCCTTTCGGAGTCTATTTAAAATAATGTTAATGTGCTAGAGATAATTTCTCCAATATAACTCATGATTATGACATAATTTCACAAGAAATATGTTTTTTTTTTTAAAACTTTATAGAAAATTTATGTCTTCTAACACACAAGAACCATTCTTTTCTTATTGCACTAAATTTAATTATGTTTCGCTTAAAGTTAATACGCTTTATCATTGACTGTGATGTTAACAGAGTAAGTATTTCTATATTTAGAAATTTAATATAATCTACATGAAGAAAGATAATAAATTCGCGAGGAGAGATATTTGTAAGATGACAATTTCGTAAATTGCGGCGAATAATTTACGACCGCTAAAAACTCACGAAATTACTGAATCATATACGGTACTTGGCAAACGAAGGACTCTGCATAAGAGAGTCGTTAGACTTTTCATTTTGAGAATGCCGCGGAATTATCGTTTTACTGTCTTCCCGAGCATAAAAAAGTCTGCCAATTATATTGTACAATTCAGTTACTATCCTTTCAACTAAGAAGAACAATTCACGAGACCATTTCTAGGTTTTAAGAACTTCCACCTTTTTAAAAGTGTACTTAAACAGTGAATCCGTGATTTACTCGCGCTCCTACTTCTCCGCTCACGTTTTCTCTCTTCCTCCGTCGATTATTTACGTTTGTGTTAAATGGCGTTAATGAAAGTCTTACTACCTCAATCACTTCTGGTCGAGTGGCATCTCGTGCTTAATAACAAAGTTAACTTTACCGTAGATCGGGAAGATTCTCGCTTTTTCCGGCCACCTTTACCTGACGATTGATTTCCGAACGGCGTTCGTGCCGCGTTAATTCATTTAACATTTACAGCTTTTTTTTATTACGTAACTTTAATAACAAGAGGATTTCATTGTTAAAGGAAGAAGTTCCACATAGCGGCTGATAGAAATTTCATATTAAGTAAATTGCGCTCTTACAGAAACTTTGTTCGCGTGAGAAGTGTCAACTAAGTGCGAACAAAGCTCTCTATTAATATTGCAGAGCCGCAAACGTCTAGAACGTAACGTTTACTCGTGCTATTACGCGTAATATTGAACGTAATATTTTTTGCCTTGTTAAAGTGTTATATTCAAAGATTTGGTATTGCGAAACTTTGGCGAAAACGATGAATATATGTATACATTGAATCTATAGTTATAACTAGATAATTAAATTTGTATAGTATAATCTTATTATACGGGATCTCTACTCCATCTATTCGTGAACAATATACGGAGGCTACACAATAACTGCCTTTATGTATGTTGTTGTATATACGAGCTATTTATTCTCAGACCGACGATTTGACGTATTTAAACCCTCAGGCGGGTACTCATTTATCAGGCGTGTCTGACGGCTGATCAATGATCACCTTTACCACTGTTTTAATTATTCGCCGCTGTAACGTAATAATCTGGCGAAAGGATTCATTTCTCAATTTACATACTGCATATATTTCGCTTAATTATGATGACAATGCACTCAACTTGCGCATTTTGCAATAAATTTTTATTCTGCTTTAACATAAAAAACCAATCGACTGCGAAATGGTGCAAAATATTTATTATATATATAGCAAATAAAAAGTTTAATTTTTTCCACTTTCTTTAATTTACCCGTTTTCATATCGATTGGACGACCTGATTAAATGAATAAAATTGTATATAGAGTGATTGATATACAATGTATTATTAAATTTCATACGCTGGCATTTATATTATTTTTTAATTGCGATGTAATAATTGAATTATAAATTGTAATTTTCTTAAGTAAGGTTATTTAGGAAGTAGATCGCTTTTAGAGCAGCGAATACTTCGCAGAAATGTATCTTTTATAAAATGCGATTACCATTTCTTGTAATCGGATCGCGCGTTTGATAGTTGCAAGCGCATTAGGCATGTAACTTCACGGAAATTAGATTTGAATAAGTTAAAATCCCGATGCGCGTTAAATCAATACCGCCATTGCTCGGAAAAAGCAAACTTTCCGCGATAGATAGATAGATGAATGGGATCGTTGAGTTATAAACAGAACGCGCGCGACAGCTGCGTAAAATATAGGGGGATTAGACATACGCGCGCGCGCGCGCGAGGGGAAACGAGAAATGACGCATGGCATATCCGTGGATGATGTCAGTGCGTTAAACTCGCGGCCTGATAAACGATTGGATCTACCCTTCTCAAAGTACATTAAAAAGGAAAAAAAAAACGTAGAGTATCTTTTAACGTTGCGGAAAGTGATGGGTCGTAAAAGTAATATGCTCACCGGCCATTTCGCGGTCCGACGTTCGTCACATACGACGAGGATGCAGTGATAGCTGAATCCGGTATGTCACCCGATTCCATCCCCAAGGACTGGTTGCATGATCCTGGAAACATGATGACACGCTTTAATGTAATAGATGAGCTAATGATTTCATGGATACGAGTATAATCTTCGTTATTGAATTCTGCAGCGAGATTGGATTACTTTTATATTCATATTTTCGAAAATTAATTAATCGGATTTTATCTAGAAGTTTTTTAAACCGAATAGATTGGTTAATTACCGTTCGCTCTAACGTCAAATATTCATTAGAACCGTTTTATATGACTTGTAAGTTATTTGATATGTAAATAACGTTCGTTTATAGATACTTAGATCTTCCGAGGCTTTCCCCTGACGATCCATAAAGACGGTAACGGCGCGATGGCGACGCATCGCCTGACGCAACGCCTTTTAAAGACAATGGGATAAAAGAAACAATAGTGCGTGATATCGCGCACTATTGTGCCAGCAGGGAGAGAACTCTTTAAAGTTGGAGTGTATCCGCAGGAATCACGAACGTAAACAGCAATTACGACGTCGTCGTCGCAATCGTTGTTCGCGAAGTTGGGATAAGTGGCAAATGGCTGGGAGCCTCGAGGCGCATCGCCGTCGGGATATTATCCAATCACTATACTTATTAGTCTTTCAGCGATCTCATTCACGTTTCAATTCGCGTTACGTTTACTGTCATTCGGTTGTAATCTTTCCATTAAAGTTTTCGTTAGACAACAAAAAGCTGCGGCGCGCGCGCGCGAACGAAGCTCCCGTCCGCCGTGTTGGAAAACTTCATACCGCTGCGCGAGGATCAATCGCCCTGAATAAATTTGTTCTACGAGATCGAGCGGCGATCCATCTATCTCGCGATTTTATTTGCAATTAAGAAAAGATCAATCCTATATATACAATGGTGACGTTTGTTTCACCGTACAGATTAAATTTATCTGGTTTTTGAGACCTTTTTCCTCGAAATTTCACCCGATCGAGAAGCGAGAAGATATATCATTTCTATATATATATATATATATATATATATATATATATGTATATATCATATCAGTTACATTTAGAATTACACTTGTTACGTGCCACTATTACTTATGTTTCCGATACAACGAATGTTGCCGGGGAACATTACATTCGTGCGATTTACTTTCGGACGTCCGGGTGGCATTTACGCGGAATAACGATTAACTCGGAGGGGAACGGGGAAAACGCGCAGAAAACGTATCTTCCGGTTCTCAAATCAGCGAACAGGAAAAATTCGTTCGCGTACGAGCCTGTTCTTATTGGTCTCAAGAAGCATACAATCGAACGTGAGCGCGCGTATGGTCGATTAAATCTTTTCACATGCCTGTCAGCTCTGCGGTTTATGTTGGTTCGGCAACCCCTCTTAGAGGGAAACCCCAAGAAGTAAACGATCGGGCTAAGCCCCGGCCCGGGGAAGCGGAAAGGAATTTCTTCTCACGGAAGGTAAAATCAGGAACTCGGGCAATAAACATTGTGATTGTCGTTATTGCCGTGGCTCGCTCGAAAAGCAGTTCCACGGAGAGAGGGTGCTTCTATCAAAATCTACTAGACGTCGTTACAACGAAATCCACTAAAAACTTCATAGATCTTTCAACATCGCGGGTCGAAAATTCGCGGGAGAGAGCTTTGCGGTGTTAGGAAAGCGAGAACATCGCCGGGAATGACAAAGGATCGCTATGAGAAACGTTTTCACGAGGATTTAACTGGCTAGTTTGTGTGAGGCCAGACGACGCTATTTACAGCGGAAGTATTTTAATAACGTCAGCCGCGGTGTAGCTGACTTCATTCCCATCTGCCATATTTCTTCTTTGCCATAACTTCTGCCATCATTTTTTTTTTACGTGCTCCATGAAAAGTAATGGTAATCAATGAGACAAATAAAGCGCATTGATCTATTTTTACATAAATTAAATAAATTAAATAAAAATGTTTGTCAATTTATATCATTCAGCATAGTTGCACGGAAAGAACAATTTTGTTGAACCCAGATCTGAAAATAATTTTTGTTCAATAATCAATATAATTTTGCGTGAAAGTCAAAATGATTGCTAGAATATTAAAACGTTTTATAGCAATACTTATCTGTCTCTTATACACA